CCAAGGCGTGAGAAATGCAAGACGTTTGGTAATTGTGCCTCCTGCCAAAAGAAAGGATCCCATTGAAGCAGCTAATCCCAGACATACTGTCTGTACATCTGGTTGTACAAATTGCATAGTATCATAAATAGCTATTCCAGGTATTACCCACCCCCCCGGAGAGTTTATAAACAGAGACAATTCTTTATTCTCTTTCTCTATGCTCAGATAGATCATAAGACTAATAAGTTGATTCGATATTTCACTATCAACATCTTGACCTAAAAAAAGTAATCTTTCTCGATAAAGTCGATTGATTAGGATTCCATTTTTTCCTTAAAAGCCGTACATGCACCTTTTGATGCATACAGTTCATCAAAAATTATATAAGCAAAAAAGGAATCAATGTGTCGATTTGAATCTTTCTCTTTTTCTAATGGATTTCTTCGAACTAAAAAAAAGAAGAATATACTTAATTTAGTGAACTATCTTCTCATTGATGTATTGCTTTCATCGAGATCGAAGCCGAATCACAATGTAATTTTCTTGTTTCTGAATGGACTTTTTCAATTCTTTTAGGTTTCTTTTCTACTCTGAGTAAAGATCTGCCCGATTTGGATTTGCACATATAGAACAAATATTCCAAAACTATGTATTTTTGTTAGAACTTCTTCCTTTGCTGAATTGAGTAATGTTTTCTTTCTGTAAAATACAATATATGGATATCATAGAAGTAGTGATCATAGAAATATTACCAATTGGTTTTTTCTACACAGAGCCTGGGTACTTTATTTTATTGGTCCAATTAAGCCAACCATAAATTATTCATAATTTCGAGTAATAATCTGGAAATTTTCTCTAAAAATGAAAAAATCGATAGAATAGTACTTCATTACACTTCACGCTCCCCATTTTTTTATCTTTTATTGAATCATTCTCTTTTGGGGGTGAAAGAGGGGATATCTCGATCGGGGGAGAAAACGGGTAAATCCCATATAACCTACTATATCTGACAAGTCGCACTATATATCAATCCAAACTGCATCTCTATCCCCGGGGAGTCGAAAGGGTACTCTTGGAACACCAATGGGCATAAAATGGACAAATAATAAAGTCATATATCTCACTTTAGTGTGGAAACGTAAGAATTAGCTTATCGTGTTAAAAATGATTGACTTTATTTTAGATTAATATTGCTTTTTTTTTTAGAAAAAAGAATACTAAAAAAAGTCAAGTTGTTACAAATGGGTCATTGGGGTGATAAGCGAATATGTCTGCATTTACTTATTTAAATAGTCATAGAGAAAGTTGTCAACCCCTCTCGTCTCCCCACCATTGCGTATTGTTACTTATCCGGTATAGAATAAATCTGTTTCTTTGATTTCTACAAATATGATTGTTCTATTTTCCAAGAGAATATACTGAAAGGCTATATTCATTTTTTTCCAGTGCAATAAAGTTACATAGTGTCTATTTTTTGTTGAAGGGGTATTTTTTCATGGGTTTACCTTGGTATCGTGTTCATACTGTTGTTTTAAATGATCCGGGCCGTTTGCTTTCTGTTCATATAATGCACACAGCTCTAGTTGCTGGTTGGGCCGGTTCGATGGCTCTATATGAATTAGCAGTTTTTGATCCCTCTGACCCTGTTCTTGATCCAATGTGGAGACAGGGTATGTTCGTTATACCTTTCATGACTCGTTTAGGAATAACTAATTCGTGGGGCGGTTGGAATATCACAGGAGGGGCTATAACGAATCCGGGTATTTGGAGTTACGAAGGTGTGGCCGGAGCACATATTGTGTTTTCAGGCTTGTGCTTTTTAGCGGCTATTTGGCATTGGGTTTATTGGGATCTAGAAATCTTTTGTGATGAACGTACTGGAAAACCTTCTTTGGATTTGCCAAAAATTTTTGGAATTCATTTATTTCTTGCAGGGGTGGCTTGTTTTGGTTTTGGCGCATTTCATGTAACAGGATTGTATGGTCCCGGAATATGGGTGTCTGATCCTTATGGACTAACTGGAAGGATACAATCCGTAAATCCCGCGTGGGGTGTGGAAGGTTTTGATCCTTTTGTTCCGGGGGGGATAGCTTCTCATCATATTGCGGCAGGAACGTTGGGCATATTAGCTGGTCTTTTCCATCTTAGTGTGCGTCCACCCCAACGTCTATATAAAGGATTACGTATGGGAAATATTGAAACTGTCCTTTCTAGCAGTATTGCTGCTGTCTTTTTTGCAGCTTTTGTCGTTGCTGGAACTATGTGGTATGGTTCAGCAACAACCCCCATTGAATTATTTGGTCCTACTCGATATCAATGGGATCAGGGATACTTCCAGCAAGAAATATATCGAAGAATTGGTGCTGGACTAGCCGAAAATCAAAATTTATCAGAAGCTTGGTCTAAAATTCCTGAAAAATTAGCTTTTTATGATTACATCGGAAATAATCCAGCAAAAGGGGGGTTATTTAGAGCGGGTTCCATGGACAATGGAGATGGAATAGCCGTCGGTTGGTTAGGACATCCCATTTTTCGAGATAAAGAAGGACATGAGCTTTTTGTACGTCGTATGCCTACTTTTTTTGAAACATTTCCAGTTGTTTTAGTAGATGGGGACGGAATTGTTAGAGCCGATGTTCCTTTTCGAAGAGCAGAATCGAAATATAGTGTCGAACAAGTAGGTGTAACTGTTGAGTTCTATGGTGGTGAGCTTAATGGAGTAAGTTATAGTGATCCCGCTACTGTGAAAAAATATGCTAGACGTGCTCAATTGGGTGAAATTTTTGAATTAGATCGTGCTACTTTGAAATCAGATGGTGTTTTTCGTAGCAGTCCAAGGGGTTGGTTTACTTTTGGGCATGCTTCATTTGCTCTGCTATTCTTTTTCGGGCACATTTGGCATGGTGCTAGAACTTTGTTCAGAGATGTTTTTGCTGGTATCGACCCAGATTTAGATGCTCAAGTAGAATTTGGAGCATTCCAAAAACTTGGAGATCCAACTACAAGAAGACCGGTAGTATAACATTCTTTTGTTCTTTTCTACTTTTTTCTAATTTTTAATTTCACATAAAGAACTAGATAAATCTTGATTTGAATCATTGCATTTATTCTTTTTTTTCTTTTCGAAAAGAGCCCCACCCCAAGAAACAGGTATGAAAGCTATAATTGTAAACCACGATTAAATTTATGGAAGCTTTGGTTTATACATTCCTCTTAGTCTCAACTTTAGGAATTATTTTTTTCGCGATTTTTTTTAGAGAACCTCCTAAAGTTCCGACGAAAAAGGTAAAATAATGTTTTATTATCTTAATTGAAGTAATGAGCCCCCAATAGGGAGGGCGCATTACTTCAACTAGTCCCCATGTTCTTCAAATGGATCTCTTAGTTGTTGGGAGGGTTGCCCAAAGGCAGTATATAAGGCATACCCAGTAAAACTTACAAGTAAACCAGATATAGAGATGGCAATTAGAGTTGCTGTTTCCATTATTTTAATTATAAAGTTTCCAGATCACAATAGATCGATCTATAGGATAAGATCCTTATATTTACAGCGGAATGGTATACAAAGTCAACAGATCTAAATGAATAAAAAAGAGTATTTATGGCTACGCAAACCGTTGAGGATAATTCTAGATCTGGTCCAAGACGAACTGTTGTAGGGAATTTATTGAAACCTTTAAATTCAGAATATGGTAAAGTAGCCCCGGGGTGGGGAACTACTCCTTTGATGGGTGTTGCAATGGCTCTATTTGCGATATTTCTATCTATTATTTTGGAGATTTATAATTCGTCCATTTTATTGGACGGAATTTCTATCAATTAGTCCTCTTAAAGGTAATATGATAATTCAAACAAAATTAATTGTAAAAAATATATATCTAGTATTATCTTTCTATAGTTTTCTAAACCATTGATAATTAATGCTTTTTTTAACAATCTTACCGGTAATTAATAAGTTCTTAAGCCATCATAATTAATTTTTATCTCATACGGAAAATAATCTTTTAACGTCTAAAAATAACTCTTTCATAATCTCCTCTTAAAGGTAATATGATAATTCAAACAAAATTAATTGTAAAAAATATATATCTAGTATTAGGTGTCTATAATTTTTTAAATCGTTGATAGCTAATACTTTTTTTAACAATCTTAACGGTAATTAATACTTTCTTAAACCATTATAGCTAATATTTATCTTATAACAAATTTCAAAATTTTATTAAAACACAAAAATTGAGATATAGGATTTTTTGAATTAAAAAGGATAGTTTTAATTTTTTCCTTTTAAAAAGTGAAAGTATAGAAGAAAATGATTAAAGAAGAAATAACTAACATAGATCATTGACCCAAAATTATGGATCACCATAGATGAAGTTCACTTTTTTTTATATAATATTGTCAAGTAATCTAGAGGTGTTAATAATATTTTCAATGTTTTAATTATATTTTTAAATAGGAAATAACGATATTTATGCTGTGAATTAATAGAAGTGATCATAATGAGAATTATTACATTTAAATTTAACTTGGAAAAGTGAATATTTGCAACAGATTGAGAAATACACATGAAATTTAAAATAGAATTAAGTTTTTTTAATAAGATTGAAGAATCAACTTTATATCCTATCTATCAAATTCTAAAAATTAAGTATGATTCCGTTTTTATTTTTGAATAAGAAACTATTCATGATTATATAGCAGACGTCTGAATCCAACTATGGTAATCGAAATTGAATAAAAGACTTTGCAATCACGCCGAGAAAGCATTTTATTATTGTGTTTAACCATTCTCAATTTGTAATTAAAATGATTAAAAAAATTAGTAAAATAATATTTAGAGTTATTAAGTGAGTTTAAAACAAAAATGGGATTTCAAGATATCAAGATCCTTTCAAATATGTTCTTGAAGACTGCTGCTATATTTAAATTAAGAATAATGGTAAGTAACAAACTTTTATATGTATTTGACAAATACTATAAAGATAAAATGATTATAAAGAAATAAATTTTTATATTTTTTCAAAAAAATAAAATAATAAAAATAATATCAAATTAATATAAAAGTTTTATATATTAAAGTATATTATTTTTAGATTAAGCATGATACCTTCTCCAATCATTTTTATATTGTTTAATTCTAAATCTCATGACGTATGAAATGCTCCAATTGTTTCATTTTGTTCTTACTCTAATATTTTAATATTATTTCCAATTCTAAATTTAATCCTTTAAGGATTTTTATGAAGAATAAAAATAGACAAAAGAAGTTGAACTTTCTTATCTTCAAAAGTTCTATTCTATTCTATCATAACCAAAAAAAAACATCACACAATGTCTTTGCCTTGAAGTTCAACTATAAATTGCAAATAATTTGCAAATTATAAATTGCAAATAATTTGCAAATAATTTGTTATTCACATTAGTGCTATTTAATCCTATAAAATTTGTTATTCACATATTATAGTGTTAACTATAAAAACCTAAAACTTTTTTTCTTTCTAAGTGAGTATATTAGGTGTTAATAAATATTTTAAGTGTACATGAATAATTTTCTTATTATTTATTTATCAGTCAAAACTTTTTTATGTCTAGATTTATTGTACTTTCTACCCTTAGCCGTAGATAAGCATGTGATCAGCTTTCTTAAAATGACTTAAGGACATTTAGATAAAATAGTTTTGTTTAGAAAAATATACGTTTTTCTTATATTCATGCTTACTTTTGCTTGTTCTTTGCACTTTTAAATTGACAAGTTAGTTCTTAAATTTTTAAAAAAGGTCGTCACTCTGTATATCTTATTCAATTTCATGACAGTAAAATCTGTTAATAATTAAAAACTCCACATTCTTAAAAATAAAATAAAAAAGGTTAAATGATCAAAATCAAGTTTAAAAAAAATACAAGAATAAAAAACACATATTTTTGCTTTAGTTTCTTGTCATGTAAAAGACATCCAAAAACATTTCTAAAAGCCAACAAACGGCTGCTCTTTCAAATATTCTAAAATCACTCAGAACTTTGAAATTAGAGAGGAAAACCCAATAACCTTTATCTTGACCTTTCATCATTTTTTAAAAATTTGTTCATTTCCATAATTATTTAAAAAGAAAATCAAAATAATGGTGCTTTTGCCTAAAGAAATCATCCTATAAGAATGTGCAGCAGCAGCAGCAGCAAGCAGAGAATTGAAATGGAGGATTCTGTTAATGATGCAACCGAGCAACAGAAGAAGATGATAGTGTCATGGGATGAAATGATAGAGAAGGGTTTGGGGAACTTTGGGTGGACACGGTTCCTTCAATGCATCCTCGTCTCAGTCGCAATGTTCTTCGATTCACAGCAGTTATTCATAGGAGTCTACACTGACGATTACCCGACATGGCACTGCACCAACCACACGACAACATGCACCTCAAATTCCGACATCTGCAAGCTCCAAAAGTCTTCATGGGAATGGGATGGACCCTCTTCCAAGACAATCATTTCACAGTTTGGCCTTCAATGTGCCAGCAGCTTCATCACAGGTTTACCCCAATCCTCCTTCTTCTTCGGTTGCCTTCTCGGTTCCTTTCTTCTTGCCACCATGGCCGACACATCTCTCGGAAGAAAGAACATGATCATTCTCTCATGTTTATCAATGTCCGTAATTTCAATCGTCATCATCTTCTCCACCAACGTTTGGATATACTCAGCGTTGAAATTCCTCATCGGGTTCTGTCGATCGTCCATCTCAACATGTTGCCTGGTGTTACTGACGGAGAAAGTGAGCACCGAGTGGAGGTTCACGGTGGGGATTATAGAGTTTGTTTTCTTCACATCAGGGTACATGTTCTTGCCAGGTGTGGCTTATGCCAACAGAAATTCTCCATGGAAATATCTTTACGTGTGGATTTCTGTTCCTGCTATTTCATACTCTTTCATTGCTTATCTTTTCGTCACCGAGTCTCCAAGGTGGCTTCTCATGCAAGGTCGAGTCAAAGAAGCAATGGAAATGCTGAAAGAAGTTAATGAAAACGCTGCAAATTTAAATCCACCGGCAGAAGAAAAAAGGGTTTCATTTTGTCAACTCTACTCATCGATAGCAGTGTTGTTAAGAACAAGTTGGGCTCCAAAACGGATGGTGGGAGTTATGGGGTTAGGTCTTGGCATTGGAATGGTGTACTTTGGGATGCCATTAGCAGTGGGAAACTTGAACTACAACATATACCTTGCAGTTGTGTTGAATGCGTTGATGGAAATACCGTCTTGCGTGGTGACCTATTTCTTGGGAAACTGCGGGAGAAAGTTATCGATTCTTGTGTTCTCAGTAGGAAGTGGGATATGTTGCATAGTGTGTGTGGTGATAGAAAGTGAAGGTGTTAAGGTGGGGTTTGCAGTGGCATCGTTTTTCTGTGCATGCACTGCTTTTAACGTGTTTCTGATATTCATGGTGGAGCTGTTTCCGACATGCGTGAGGAACACTGCAGCATCGGTTGCGAGACAGGCTGTGATGTTTGGGTGCATGTTCAGTCCGTTTCTGATATCTGCTGGGAGAAAGAACAAGGTTTTCTCTTATGGCGTGTTTGGAGTGGTTATAATCTCCTCCACTTTGACGTTGTTGGGTTTGCCAGAGACAAGAGGAATGCCTCTTTCTGACACCATGGATCAACAGCAGAACAAAGAAGGAAACTTCCCACTCTGAAATGGAAATTCTTTCTGCTTTTCTCAACTTTCCTAGGCTTTCTTGCTTCCTATTACAACTCCCACCTCCACTGTCAAACATTTAACTTAGAAAATCGAAAAATTTCGTTATTAAAATTCTGTGTTTAGTTGTAATCGTGAGGGTTGTTAATTTTCCTTTTTGATCATTTTGCAAAATTTCAAAGGTTACATATTTATACTCGTATTAAAAAGAAAATGTAAATGTCTATTCTATACTTACATATAGAATCTAAGTTATTCCATAACCTTTGTCATCTCACCAGTTTTGCTTTACAAGGTTTTGACATTGAATAGGACATTAGTACCAGTCAGAGTATGAAAATGAGACAAAAGAGATTTTGTGTTTGATCCACAAGAAGTACTTTCTAACCCAACACCTATGTGTACTAAGTTGTCCTTTATTGGTACCTTATTCAATAAGACTTTCTACCCAAAATGTTGAGCATTTAGAAGAGCTTTCAAACTCCAACAAAATTTAAACAATATAGTGTTCTCCCGCGCCAAAACATTTTGCAATATATTGTATGC